AGGGGAAGTTTCTGTCATTATTCTCAATAGGTTTCACATCTGCTCTCTCTCATCTCTGCACCCCCTATAATTCTGATGTTGGTACGCTTGAAGCTGTCCCAGAGGCCTCCTTACACTATCTTTGTATTTTTCGGATTCTTTTTCATTTTGCTTTTCCGGTTGGGTGTTTTTTTGCTTTCTTCGTATTTCAAATCTTGACCTGGATTCTTGCGCTCCTCTGGGTCTGCTGTTGGGGAGTCTGTATAAATATTTCTTTTATTTTCAGTCCAGTGTATGCTTAAATTTCTAGTTGGTTCCTTTATCACAACCATCGGAGGGGTCTCCATTTAGATTTTCTTGGTACATCTCATTAAAGTTTTATCGGGCAGACTCTAAAAAGACTCCTTGAAAAGACCCTCAAAAAGTGTGGGTTTTTGAAATTCTATATCCAGCAGCCCTGCTTTCCTCCAGTCCTGTTATTTGTGTCCTGGTTTCTTTTGTTCTCGGCATTTTTTTTTATGCTTCGCTGTGTCAATAGAGTGGCTTTCTGTGCTAAGTGTCCCAATTACCTGAGGTAGACACTCTTGGTGCACCCCTTGTGGTCTTTGTGCGCAGTCTTGTTGTAGCTAAGCCTTGATTGTTGTAGGTATCACTGGGAAGGATTTGACCTCCAGGCCAACTGGCTGTGAGAATCAGCTGTGTCTGCAGTGGGAGAACTTCTGTACTCTAGGGAGGTGCTAATCTAGCCTTTGCCTGAGGCTATTCCGCAAATGCCTCTGTGCAGGGCTTGGGCGGGGCGGGTCCCAGGGGATCAACAGGGCGGGTGGAGGGAGCAGTTATGGCTGCTCTCAGTCCTGTCCCCAGAGGCTCTGCCTCTCAGAGTCCCAGCAACTGCTGCAAACCTCGGAGAGAAAGCTGCCCTCGAGTTCCGACCGATGCCATACAGTCCTGCTTCTCCCGTTTGAGTCTGGGTCCCTAGAGACTCGCCCGGAACTGGAGCTCAGAGCCTGAGACTCCCTCCCGATTGAAACAGACAACCGCGCCCTCAACCGCCAGTTCTCTCCACGCGCACCTCCGCACCTTAGTAGTTCACTTCCGCACTGCGCCTCCTCTGAGTCTCCGTATGCTTTTCTCTTTCCTTCTAGTTGTAGAAATTCCACTCTGCCAGCCTTCCTGTGGTTCTGGGTGATGTCCGTTCCGTCTTTTAGTTGTATTTTTGAAGTGGTTGTGCGAGGCAGCAATCTCCGGTGTTTACCTATGCCACCATCTTGGTTTCTCCCCCGTCCACACTTTAAATCTCTAGACCCACATATATCCTATCCCATAACATACAAGAAACACAGGCACAGCTTATGGTCTTCTGAGACA